AAAGTAAATATTTCTTAAGAAACAGAGTTTTCTGACTTAAAGTTAAATTCAGGATAGTCCAGTGGCCTTCCCACATACCCTTTAACCCAGCTATATCACCTTTAGTGATCTTTCCAATAGAATTTTCCACAAACAAGAATATGCATTAAGGATGCATTTTGTGTATTTTCAGTAGCTTAATAAATAAATAAATAGGAAATGAATCTTCTGAAATATAGGTTGCCAGTTAATGATATATACTACATGTATTTAGTCTTAATTCAACTGACAATATTCTATAGTTATTTGTTTAGTCTAATATCTTGTATGATTTTAACTAAAGGGTTTTATTAATCTAAAGCAAATGTTTGCTTCAACATGCATAGAAAATCCATAGTACTGAATGATATGAAAGTAAAAATAACACAAACGAAAAAACAAAACCTCTCACTGTGATCAATCAAGATCACAGTGAATGAGCTTAGAGGCCAAAATTTTAATTTATTGCTAATGTAATCAGAAATACTAATTAACATCATCAATGTATTGTTTTAAAAAAGATACATACATCCAGGGCATTTACTCTGTGGATGGTTTGCCATAGTAAACCTAGAATGGAACAAGGAGACCTATTCTTATATTTCTTAAATTTAAGGTCATATCAACTTACGATAGCTTTTTGATATGCCAACTTGGTTAGGGAGAACTACAAGGACAAAAATGAGGGCAGCAACCTTTTTTTTTAACACACATACTTCTTGCCTAGTTATTCAATTAAAGGCTAAACTACTTGATGCTGTGAGGAGACAGCAGGTGTAACTGAAGTTCCTTATTTTGACTGTGAGCTAATGAAATTCTCAAGTCATGACTTCATCAGTGAAAGCCCTTTAAGGTAGGGGTGTCGAACTCAATCAGAGAAGGGGCCAAAACCTAAAATCCAGCCTAAATCGCGGGCCGATTGGTTTACTGAACAGTCATAAACTGTCATTGTGATGGAAACGCAGCGGAGTGCAGTGATGACAGCGCGGTGCGGGCCACATTGCAAGGCCTGGCGGGACGGATTTGGCCCGCGGGCCTTGTGTTTAACACATGTGCTTTAAGGAAAGGCATAGACAATCCTTGAACAACACTCCAAACATCAAATCGGTCTGTATTGCTCCAGAAACACCTCACTGACAGTGACAAATGCTTTGTCCCAAGGTTCCACCCTGCTGGTGATTTCTTGTCCTGACTTACTCCACCACAGATCTCACACTTGCTTACCTAGCCCCTATGATCCTGTAAGCCAGATCTTTGTAATGAATCTATACATGGATCCATATTACTTGTTTTGCTTCTGGGGTTGATAGATAGATCCTTCTTCACTGTTGTGACAGTCTTGACCATAAAACTTGTGGTCCATTGGCAAAGAATTCTTATCTGGGAAATATTAGGTCCTGCCCAGTGTGGTTCAGTTGGTTGGGCATCATTCCATGCACCAAAAGGTTTCTGATTTCATTCACAGATGTGTCAGGGTTTCTGGCTCAATATCAGGTAGGGGGTGTGGAGGAGCCAGCCAGGAAATGTTTCTCTCTCTCCCTCCCTGACTTCCTCTCTTTTTGAAAATCAATAAAAAATGTATTTTAAAACAGAAAATATTAGATGGCCCCTTCTCAAATTTCCTTCTTTTATTTCATTTTCATATAAAAACTCATAGATATAGCATACCAAGAAAAATACTGACAGTCCTTCCTCTTTATTTGCAAGTTCTATAGTTGCAAATTTGCTTAGTTACTAAAACTTATTTTGTAGTGCTATAACTAATACTAATGGTGTTTTCTTAGCCATTCTTGGACTTGCACTGAGAAGGAGAAATTTAGTTCTGCCAGTTGAAAGTTTCAAACAGAATTTGAATTAGGAGACGCTCATACAGTGTCTTTTTCAGGGTATATTATGCCAAGTTTTTGGCATTTTGGTGCTGTTTGTTGGTGACATTACTGTTTAAAATGGCCCCCAGTCTTAGTGCCAAAGCACTCAGCTATGCTTTATGGAGAAAATGTATCTGTTAGATAAGCATCCTTAAAGAATGAGCTCTAATGCTGTTGGCCATGAATTCAATATTAATATATACATAATATATAATAACTAAGATGTCCTTAAACCAAGGTTATGTACTAACAAATGGATGGGCATACTATGACCAGAGGCTGGAAGGAGACTAACTCTGCATTTCCACAGGGAATAATGCTTCAGTACTTGCTAGTAAAGTATTTGTGCCACTTTGCAGAACATGAATGGGATTTTTGCTTTTACAGCCTTATATGGACCTCAGGCAGGACTTTCCCTACTTGTGGATTAGAGGATCCCTTTAAAAAATGCCTGCCACTTACACACACAAAAAATCAATAAATGTTAGTAAATAATATTAAATAAATCTTAGGTAATTATTGAGCATCTGTCTACTATGATAGCATTTTTTTAGATGTATCATTCAGAGAGTTGTTTTTAAAAACTAAGCTGGATATCAATTTAATCAATGGGCCAAAATTGATTTGTTAATAGAAAATGAACTCCTATTGTCATCTTGCTACATACCTGAGAGTTACAATCTAAGGAGGTGGGTGTGGACCTAGCATATTTACTCGGTGGTTGGAGAAATGACCATTTGATTAGAGTGTCTTGTGTTCTATTATGGTCAAGGAGCTTACTTCAGTTGCAGTTTGGCCCTAGTCTGGGTCCATGCAGGAGTCAATCAATTAATGTGTCTCTCTCATATCTATGTATCTTTCTCTGAGACTCTTCCCCTCCCTACTCTCTCTAAAATTCAATGGAAAAAAAATATCCTTTGGTGAGGATTAACAAAATAATAATAATAATAATAATAAGAAGAAGAAGAAGAAGAAGAAGAAGTGATCTTCAAAGATTTAGTAAAATGACCTACATAATACAAATTCATTTTTTAAGGAGACAGATTGCCCTGTGCAGAGACTACTGCAACCAGTGAGCTCTTCAGCTTGAGGTGTGTTTCACAAAATTAGTTTTTTACAGAATCTAGGAGTGAGTGAAGGTAAGTCAAGGAAATACCTTCTATTTAGGTATTTTATCTTTATTTTTATATATTTTATCTTTAATCTACTAAATTATACTATTTTTAACTCATATTCTTACTATATTCATTTTTATGAATCATCAAGGTATAATCTTCTGCTATTTTGTATATCTTGTGGTTGTTTAATGTATTGTTATGCCTCAGAAGGTAGTTGCCAAATATCATATAATTTTATAGCAAAGTATCTAAAAGATCCAGTGTTTGGTGCTATAGGTATGGCTGAGTAGTGAACATATGGACTTCATATATTTACACATATGCATATATGTAATGAGAGTATTATAAATATCTTATTGTTGAATAATATAAGTGCTGTCCTTTTATAATTATTAACTTTTATACCTGACTTTAAGTTACTAAGAAAATGACTAGGCTCCTCAGTGGTTTGGCTCAGTGGATAGAGCATCAGCTTGCAGATTGTAGGGTCCAAAATTTTATTCTAGTCAAGGGCATGTACCTTGGTTGTGGGTATATCTCCAGTAGGGCGTGTGTAGGAGGCAGCTGATCTATGTTTCTCTCTCTCATTGATGTTTCTAACTCTCTATCCATCTCCCTTCTTTTCTGTAAAAAGTCAATATAATATATATTTTTTAAAATAGGGATATAGATCTAAGGGAAATTAGAAGGCTCACTGAAACATTTATTTTATTTTTATTTAATTTATTATTTATTTATTTAAAAAAAAATTTTTTTTATTGATTTTACAGTACATCTACTTAAAGTATGAAAAAGTTCCAGTAAACTCTGATTGGACTCTGAACTTAATTGACAAGTCTGATCTTTTTACTTTCATCATACTCAGAAATGAAAAGTCACCTTAACAGGTTTGGCTTTGTGGATAGAATGTTGGCCCATGGACTGAAGGGCCTAGGTTTAATTCTGGTCAAGGGCATGACTCAGTCACCCGCACTGTTGTGGGCATGCGCATGAGGCAACCAATCAATGGGTTTCTCTAACATCCATGTTTCTCTATCTCTAAAAATCAATGGAAAAATATACTGGGGTGAGGATTAAGGAAACAAAACAAAATAAAAGATACTTCCAAGAGAAAAAAAAATGAAAAGTCTACTTCTAGTACTGTGACAGTAAAGTTTGTAGCTGTAGATGATTAAATATATTTTAGTTTAAAATTAATCTACTTTTTAAAGTTAAAAACAAAAACAAAAATGTTTATTTAAACTTTTAGCCTATATTTCTATACCAGAAATATGAATTATAGAACATTATAGAGAATAATACTTATAGAACATTCACTTTACTGTTGTATAGTAATAATATATGTACAGTTTAAAAATATTTCAGTTAAGAATTTAAACAGAAGTTAATTTAATCCTCAATAATTCAAAAAAGGCCTATTTCTTTAATAATTTCTTTTCTAATGAATCTCCATTGGTTCAATTTGTGGTTGTTGGTTTCCTTATTTCTTTGTTTTAAAGGAGAGAGGTAAGTTTTTTTGAGCTTTTCTCTCAAGTCATTTCATAGAACAATTTTGGCCATCTCCTTCTTCTATTAATTGGCTAAAAAGATTTGTGGAATAAATATCACAAATAACTTGTGATATTTCAATAACTAACAAGTTATTGAAAACAAGAATGGGGACAATTCTGATTGATTTAGAACAATTAAAACCAATAATAAAATGCTATATCCCATGTCCTGGAAATGGATTCTTGCACACATTTGTATTTGGAGAAGGACTAGGAACTGAATGTGTAGGATTATGTGAGCCATCTATTGAGAACCTTGTCTGTGGTAAAGCCCAAGGACTCTTTCTGGGCTCCAGATTTTCATCTGTGTCATGGCATAGTTTGTTTGCTTTAGTGAGTATTGCAAAGAGAAAAACATATGGAGATCACTACCCTCATATAACTGTTCAGAATCCTCTCACCAAACCAGGCCCAGAAATGAACTGTTTCTAATTCTTCCCAGAAACATGGATCCCAGCATCTTGCAAATCTTCCAGAATGAACTCATCTGCCTCGATTGCAGGAACTACTTCTTAGACCCCATCACCACAGACAATGGGCACAGCATTTGCAGGCCCTGTTTCTACCTCAGCTGGCCAGACAATACAGTTCTTGCTCACAGTTCTGAATGTCAGGAAGAAATACAGAATTTATTCCTGAGAAACTTTGGCACAAATGTCATCCTCAAGGAAATGGTTCTCGTTGTCCGACGAGCCCATCTGAGGCAGTTCCTGTGCTCTAGGGACAATAGGTGTGGGATACACATGGAGGCAAAGCAGATCTTCTGTGAGGACCAGAGGAGCCTGCTCTGTTTGCACTGCTCTACCTCCCAGGAGCATGAGGCTCACAGACACTGTTCAGCAGAAGAGGCAGTTGAGCAACTCAGGGTAAGTGATGCCCCCGAGGACCCACTTCTATAAAGTGGCTGTGAAATTCCTGTGGGTCTGTTTCCTTGAGGATAGGATTACTCCATCCAGGTGTTCCTTTCAGAATTTCTGCCCTAGACTTCCTTAGTATAAGGCCTCACAGTTTTCACAAATATGTGATGTAAACAAGGGAACTCCATGATTTTCAATGGCTCTGATTTATCACTCTGGGGGCTCTCCTTTTATGAGGGCTAAATGTTACATTCTCCTCTTCATTGGATCTAATTAACCCTTGTGCATCTTTTGCAGGAGAAACTCCTCAGGACAATGTCCTCTTTATGGGAGAATTACTGTAAAAGTAACAGAAAGCTGAATGTAGAAACTGTCACAGTCAGATCTTGGGAGGTTGGTATTTGCATTTCTCCAACCTGCAGCATGAACTTGGGGTAGTTGGATGAGTAACTTTAAAATAGTAACTTCCTCTGAAACTATAGTATTTTCGGGGATTCAATATGGGAGTATGATCAACAGAAAAAGGGTATTTTCCCTCTATAGACAGATAGTTGGGCTCTTAGTCAGGGTTTCTAACAAAATGACAGTTGTCATACAAAGCATGCTGATTTGTTCCAAGGATTAACAATATTTATCACTTCTACACCAAGAATCACAACAGACTGGGACATTTCACAGTGTGCCATATGTGGAGGGAGGGGGTAAATTCTGGGCTTAGGAGACATTTGGCAGCCATTGAAAATTTAAGTGAAGCATCTGAGGCAGTATAAACATTAATGTGAATACTGTTGGAAAAGTAGTATTTGAAAACAGATGGAAAATTTCAGAGAGAATATCTAATATCTAATCCAATCCAGGGGAACCCTGAATTTATACCAAGTAATTAAATTTAAATCTATATTTTTAAACAAATAAGAAACTGAACGACCGAACAACTAAATGACCAGTCGTCCTATGGCTATCAGGCCCACTGACCACCAAAAGGAAGATGCTTAATGTAGGAACTGCCTGCTGATGGTCATTGTGCTCCTATAGACAACCTCCTGTGGCTGGCCAGCCTCCTGTGGTCCCTACCTCCAGTTGGTAAACAACCTGTGGTTCCTCCCCAAATCCAGGCAGACCCCCATAATCAACCCTGATGGGAAGGAGGTTGCAAACCTCCCACAGTTCCTCCCACCTACTGGCCAGCTCCCCTAATTGGCCCCTATCACTAGCCAGGCCTAGGAACTCCACCCGTGCATTAATTCAATGGGCCTCTAGTAATATATAATGTCTGAGGAGAAAAGTGACAAGATATGAGGGATATAAATAAATATGCCAAATATAGATGCTGGTATCTAAATAGAGGGAGACCTTTGAACACTTTAAGAGAATTTAAGAATAACTGATTTCCTCAATATGGATGGTTATCTTGAAGGTATGATAACTAATATGAATTCACTCAACACATATTTCATAAGCACCTTGTCTGTATCAAATATTGATATAGAAAATGGAGAAGTCAGCAAAGTAGAAACTACCCTTGCACTGAAAAACTTATTAGGGGTGTCGAACTCAGAGAAGGGGCCAAAACCTAAAATCCAGCCTAAATCGCGGGCTGAATGGTTTACTGAACAGTCATAAACTGTCATTGTGATGGAAACGCAGCGGAGTGCAGTGATGACAGCGCGGTGCGGGCCACATTGCAAGGCCTGGCGGGACGGATTTGGCCCGCGGGCCTTGTGTTTGACACATGTGCTCTAAATCAAAGGGTGAATGGTCAACATGTATATAGGTATAATACATAATGAGTAATAAGTTCTTTGTAGAATAATAAAACAGTAAGGAGAAAGAGGAGTGCAGGCAAGTAGGGACTGCAGATGAGGGTTTGAGTTCTAAATAGGATAAATAATCAGAGAAGACCTCACTGAAAATTTCACCTTATGAAAAAGATCTCTGAAGAGGATGGCAAACATGTAGAGAGAGTATTCTAGATGGAGAAAATAGCACAGGTGAATATATGGGGAGCACTTGAAAAGCCTTACAGATCAGAGGGGGCATCAGAGTGAAATATAAAGAGAATGAAAGGAACTAAAAATCAAAGATATAATGGGAGTCAGATTGTCAATGAAACCTCCTCAGGATAGGATTAAGCTGGATGAAATGCAACGGATAAGCATATCAGTCTGAGGTCACAGCATGTAAAATAAGCTGAAATAATCTTCAAATTTCAGGAATCAGACTAAATAGAGAATCCCTAATCCAATTAATATAAATTTAAACTGAATGTATTATAAATGAACTGTGTTGCCTTCTCACACATATTGCCTGGAAGATAGTAATTACACATTTGTCTTTTTTTATGATTATATTATCAAAGGATAAATTATGAATGAATTGGATATAATTGGTGTTTAAAAATATAATATATGGAAGGCGAAACCAGTTTGGCTCAGTGGATAGAACTTTGGCCTGCGGACTGAAAGGTCCTGGGTTCGATTCCTGTAAAGGGCATGTATCTTGGTTGTGGGCACATCCCCAGGAGGGGTGTGCAAGAGGCAGCTGATCGATGATTCTCTCTCATCGATGTTTCTAACTCTCTATTCCTCTCTCTTCCTCTCTTTAAAAAACCAATAAAATATATTAAAAAAAATTAAAATATATGGAAGAGGAATGAGAAAATGTGGACTCTGAGACTAGACAAGATTGAGGGGTAAAAGTTAAATATAATTGATCTTCATAAGGCAATGAGATTCAGTAGGAGATGAATGAAAGGGTTCATGTTTTGACTAACTTCATGTCATTGCAGATTTATGTGAATTCAAAGAGGGAAGGGATCAGAGCTGAATATGATAATTTGCCTCCATCTTACTATTTGGAACAGCTACATTACTTAGAGATGTTGCAAAGGGAAGGCAAGAAGATTTTTTACCAACTCAAGGATAGTGAAGCCAGGATGGCACACAAGACGGAGCTTTTAAGAGGAATGTATACAGAGCTGAAGGAAATGTGCCATAAACCAGGTGTAGAGCTGCTCCTGGTAAGAGCTCAGAGGTGGGGTGTTGAACATTCATGTGCACTGGCATTCCTTCAGCAGAAATCCATCTCCTCTTTTATGTCATTTCTTTCCAAAAACCTGTTTTCATTTGCTTTGTTGGGAGGGTATTGCTCCTCAATGAAACCTACAAACTAAAGATCCAGATTCCCCCCTCTAAAAGTCAATGATATATTTTGGTTTTGTGAAAATGCACAAAATAGTAGGGGGGTTATTGATATTGAGGCTAATTATAGACATGGCAATATGGGGAGATTTGGGGATCTACACTTACATTGCTGTCATTTTTGGGTGCACCCAAATTAGAAATAGACAAGACACTGATACTTAATCATGGTTACAGCAGCACACAGGGACTCCCCAGCCCCCTTCCCCCCTTGCCTGTCTATGGAAAGTCTCTAGGAATCAGTCTCCAGCAGAACATGAGTTTAGGGCAATATGGTAAACGAGAGGGAGTAAATAGATATGTTTCATAGGAAGAAACGGAGTAAGGAAATAATTACTTCTGGCACTATCTCAAAATTTCCCACCAGGGTGCTGGAGGGATTGAGCAAAAAATAAATAAGCAAAAGAGCAAAAAATAAGATAAAAAACTAAATGAAAAAAATAATCTCCCACTGGACCTAATGGAAGAGTCATTGGTAAAAAGCACTAAACTTTCTATTTTTCTCCACAGAATTTTGGAGACATATTGCACAGGTAAGTCTGTACCTTGATACCAGCTGGTGCTCTTTCAGTTTTTATAGACATCAGGCAAGATATGCTAAAGGAAGGCAGAACTTACTGGGATCTTGTTTGAATTTTTTTTTTTCTGTATCTATAATTCCCCTCCCCAACTGCATGTAGATGTCTCTTTTCATTGCGATACTGAGTGATTGCATTCAGCAGTTTCTATGGACAAATTGCAAAGAACAACACCCCCCCCCAAAAAAAAAAAAAACTGAATTAAGGAAACCCCTTCATTCCCAATATCTTTTTTAGTTCTCAAAATCCTACATATACAAAGGAAAAGGTGCTAAGTTTTCAGAGTGATGAGAAAGTCAAATACCTTAGAGTCAGAGCTAGTGGACTCTGAGGTGCTAGGGTAAAATAAATTCCCCACAGTGAGAAAGACCTGGTGGTTTGTTTTTCTATTCATAGAAGTTGACAGTCCTGAAAAACAGATGAAACAAATTCTCTAAGAGAATGATGTGAGGCCCCTAGAACCACTTGCCTAGGGAAGCAGATCCCCCTGTCTGGGAAAAGTTTCACAGCCTCTATGTTGAGAGTGTGCAATAGGCCAACTAGTTTTCAGAGAACCCCATCATTTCCAGATGGAGAGCATGTCAGTGGGATCCAGAATTTCCCTCTTGAATATCCTCAAGGACATAAGAGACTCAGGATCTTTACAAATTCCTGGACAAGATGAGAAAGGGTTAGAATGAATTCTGGTTCAAATGGACTTTCCGTTAGACTTGAAAATTAAGAAACTATGAAGAAGAATTATTTGGCAAAGTGGATTTATTTAAGTCTACTAATTATTCAAATTAATGGATTTAAATAATTCTATTGAAGTATCTTATACATGAAAATAGTGGTTTTGTTTATTGACTGTAAACAGTATCTTCCTCTTCCTTCTTGCAGGAGTGAGGCAGTGTGTGAGCACATGCCCCAGCCTGTGAAAGCAGAGCTCACTGCAGTGACCATCCCAGGGATGATTGCAAGGTTCAAATTGTTCAAAGGTAAGTGCAGGCCCATGGGAAATATTCCCATTATCTATCATGTGTTGTTAGGACCATGCAGGTAATCTGCCCTCTATTATTAAGTGTGTCACTATTTCCAGACATAAGTAGATCATTTGGCTGTATAATCATTTCGTTAGGGATCATGTCTTTACAGTCAAATTTATAATACCAAGAGTGAAAGGTAGTGAAAAACAAGAATATGATTCAGACTCATAAATAGTGAGTTTCCTACACATAAAGGAATTATGTCAGAAATGAGCAGCTTAATAAATGGAATAATGTTCAGATTTAAGGTTAATTATCTATTTTTATGAGCAAAACTGTACATTTCTTCTTTTAAAAAAAATAAATCTTTATTGTTCAGATTATTACAGGTGTTCCTTTTTTTTGTTTTTAAATCCCCATAGCTCCCCTCTGCCCAATTCCCCACCCCACCCCATGCCCTTACCCCCCACTACTGTCTTCATCCAGAGGTATAAGAATTTTGTCCAATCTTTTCCCAAACCCCTCAGACCCCTGCCCCCCTGAGAACTGTCAGTCCACTCCCTTAATATGTCCCTGATTCCATTATTTTCACCAGTCCATTCTGTTCCTCAGACTTTTTGTTCACTTGATTTTTAGATTTACTTGTTGGTAGGTATGTATTTGTTGTCTTTTTGTTCGTGGTTTTTATCTTTGCCTTTTTCTTCTTTTTCTTCTTAAAGAATACCCTTCAACATTTCATGTAATCCTGGTTTGGTGGTAATGAACTGCTTTAGCTTTTTCTTGTCTGTGAAGCTCTTTGTCTGACCTTCAATTCTGAATGATAGCTTTGCTGGGTAGAGCAATCTTGGTTGTAGGTTCTTTCTGTTCATCACTTTGAATATTTCTTGCCACTCCTTTCTGGCTTGCATAGTTTCTGTTGAGAAATCAGCTGACATTCGTGTGGGTACTCCCTTGTAGGTAACTAACTGTTTTTCTCTTGCTGCTTATAAGATTCTCTCTTTGTCTTTTGCCCTTGTCGTTTTAATTATGATGTGTCTTGTTGTGATCCTCTTTGGGTTCCTCTTGTTTGAAATTCTGTGCGTTTTTTGTCCTTGTAAGTCTATTTCTTTCACCAGGTGGGGGAAGTTTTCTGTAATTATTTCTTCTTGTAGGTTTTCAATATTTTGCTCTCTCTCTTCTTCTAGCACTCCAAAAATTTGGATGTTGGTACGCTTAAAGTTGTCCAGCGGCTCCTTACATTATCTTCATATTTTTGGATCCATTTTTCATTTTGTTTTTCTGGTTGGGTATTTTTTGTTTTCTCGTATTTCAGATCTTTGGTTTGATTCTTGGGGTACATTGATTTACAGTTGAGTTTCTGTAGATTCTTTATTTCAGACAGTGTAGTCTTAATTTCTGACTGGTCTTTTTCCATTTTTTTTTGGGGGGGGGCATTCTCATTAAGGTTCTTGAAGATGTCATCAAGTTTCTCAGCAGTTTTTAGAAGGTTCTTGAGTAACCTTATAAATATGGTCCTAAACTCCATGTCATCCCGTAGTTTGCTTTCCTCCATTGCCCCCTTTCACAACATGTCGCTGTATCTCTGCATTTTGGATGCTTCACTGTGTTGATGGAGTGGCCTTATGTGGTAGGTGACCCACAGGGGCCAGTAGCTCAGCCTCCCCAATCACCCGAGGTAGTCGGTCTTGGTACACCCCTTTGTGGGCTGAAGGCAAAGTCTTGGAATAGTTAAGCCTTGATTGTTGTTGGTATGCTGGGAGGAATTGTCCTACAGGACAATGGCTATGGGGACCCGCTGTGTTTATAATGGAAGAACTGCTGTGCTGGAGACAAGCTTATGGTGCGGGACTTGTTTCAGTGTGGCTTTGGTGCTCACTGAGTATGCCTCTTGAATGTGTCAATTATGGATTTGAGAAGTTGAAATCTGTGTCTCACACTGACCAGTAGGTTCACTGGCTTCTGGATCTCCAATGTGGTGCAGGTCAGCTACTGTCTGAGGTCACCCTGCAGGAGCTATAACAAGATCTCCAATCCTCTCCTTCCTTCTTGGGATTTGTATATTATGGAGCTGTCTGAACTGGCTTGGAAGTTAGCAGCAATAGTGAAGGCCATTCATATGCAAAAGCTGCTGCTTGGAGCTCGGGTGTGTTTGTAGATTGTGTGGGGAGAAATCTCAGGAAGTCACTAGGCTAGGGCATGGCAAACAGCAATGGCTAGCAGTGAGCTGTCCTGCGCCTCTGACTGTGTCCCCGAGTCTTGCACCCCAGTGCAGGAAACAATTATTTCTCCATGCAGCTCTGCAAGCCAGCCACCCTCACTTTCCAACCCAATGGCAGAAAGTCCAGCTTCTCTCCATAGAAGTTTGGGTCTTGTGTGTCTCCCCTTCGGGTTGAAGAAAGCAATGCCCACCACCAGCTGGGATCTACTGCCAGCCCATATTGCATGCTCCCATACCTCTGTTTTTCAGCTTTTGTGCACTGAATGCTCCCCTCTCTTTCTGCATGGTTGTAGAACTTCCACTCAGCCAGCTTTCTTGTGGCTCTGGGTGATAGATATTTTGTCTTTTAGTTGTAGTTTTGAAATTGTTGTGCACAGCTGCAGTTTAGGTGTGTTTACCTATGCCATCATCTTGGATTCCCCTTCATGTCTTGATGGGAACCTGCGCTTTAATGGACTTACACTTATTTTTTATATATAATTTTCAAATGTTTACAGCAGTTTTTTTGTATGATATATAACATACTGGATCTTATTTGGTTCCCTTGTATTTTTTTTTACAATGGTCATATAATGTAAAGATTTAAATTAATATGTAAGAGTTAACAGAAGGTTTGTTGATGATAACCATTCTGAGAGGTGTGAGATGGTACCTCATTGATGTTTTAATTTGCATCTCTCAGATGATTAGTGACTTTGAGCATGTCTTAACATGTCTTTTGGCATTCAGAATATCCTTTTTTGAAAAGCGTTTAGGTCCTTTGCCCATTCTTGATTGGATTGCTTATCTTCCTTTGGTTAAATTGTATGATTTCCCTGTAAATGTTAGAGGTTAAACCCTTGTCAGAGATAACATTGGCAAAATATGTTCTCCCATGCAGTGGGCTTTCTTGTTGTTTTGTTGATGATTTTTTTTGCTGTGCAGAAGCTTTTTATTTTGATGTAGTCCCATTGTTTATTTTCTCTTTAGTGTCCATTGGCCTAGGAGCTGTATTGGTAAAGATATTGCTATGACAAATGTCTGCTATTTTGTTGCCTATAACTTCTTAATTTTTTTGTTTCCCACTTTACATTTAAGTCCTTTATCCATTTTGAGTTTATTTTTGTGTATGGTGTAAGTTGATGGTCTAGTTTCATTTTTTGACAAGTATCTGTTCAGTACACTGCTGTAAAAAGAAGGAATTCTTAACATTTGCAACAGCATGGATGGAACTGTAGAACATTATGCTAAGTGAAGTAAGCCAGTCAGTGAAAGATAAACACCACATGATCTCACTCATATGTGTAATATAAACAACATTATAAACTGTTGAACAAAAATAGATAGAGGCAAAGAAGCATTGAACAGACTGCCAAACTACAGGGGGAAGGTAAGGGAGGGTTGGGGGGGTGGGTAAGGGATCAACTGAAGGACTTGCACACATGCATTTAATCATAATTAGTAGACATAAGCTACTGGGGAAGGGGGTGAGGGCAAGTATGAGGGTGGGTAGGGGAGGCAGAGGGGAGGTCAATGAGGAACAAAAAGATATATGTACTACTATTTGTAATACATTAAACAATAAATTTTAAAAAAAGATTTAACAGAAGAATCCTATCTAATAAAAGAGTAATATGCAAAATGACCATCACTCCAACACACAAGATGGCCAAACCCATGTGGTCAAAGATTGCTGCCCCCATGTGGACACAAATGGCCACCACAAGATGGCTGGCAGGGGAGGGGAGTTAGGGTGACCAGGCCTGCAGGGAGGTCAGTTGGAGGGGACCAGGCCTGTAAGGGAGGGAGGTTAGTGATGACCAGGCCAGTAGGGGAGGGAAGTTATGGGCAAACAGGCTAGGAAAGGAGAGTAGTTATGGGTGACCAGACCAGAAGGGGAAGGCAGTTGGGGAAAACAAGGCCTGCAGGGAAGGACAGTTAGGGGCTACCAGGTAGGCAGGGGAGGGCAGTTAGAGGTGACCAAACCAGCAGGGAAGAGTAGTTAGGGGCAATCAGGCCAACAGTGTAGCAGTTAGTCATCAATCAGACTGGCAGTGGAGTTTTTAGGGGTTGATCAGGCAGGCAGGCAAGTGGTTGGGAGCCAGCAGTCCTGGATTGTGAGAGGAATGTCTGACTGCCCATTTAGGCCCGATCTCTCGAGGCGTCCCAGATTGGAGAATGTGCAGGCTGAGCTGAGGGACAACCCCCTCCCCACCCCCACCCCCATGCATGAATTTTATACACCAGGCCTCTAGTTATTTTTATAAACAACAAAGTAAAAACACACCAAAATTCAGTTTACTCATAATCTCAAGAGGTACATATTAAATCTCAACATGCTGATAGCCCAGAGTTGGGACAGAGGACAAAGGGACTAGTGAGGGGATTTTCAAACACCATTTTAAAAAACTACTAAAATGGACATAAATTTGATTTTCATTAATTTATCTAGAAAAATGTTTGACTTATGCCAAATCTGTACATCCCTTCCAAAATGATGATGTGATTATTTAGAAGAAATGTTCTTCTGATTCTAATTTTTTACAATGGAAAACAAATCCAAGAATATTAGTATTGGCCATTTTGCTATGAAAAGTGAACTTGGAGACATGAGTCTTTTTGTTCTTAATCCTCACCCAATGAAACACACAATTTTTTATTTATTTTTATTTTTTATTTATTGTTTATTTATTGAAGAGAGACTTGGAGAGAAACAGTGAGATAGAAACATCAATGATGAGAAAGAATTATTGATCAGCTGCCTCCTGCATGACTCCTACTGGGGATCAAGCCCAGAACCCAGACATGTGCCCTGACCAGCAATGGAACCTTGACCTCCTACTTCATATGTCAAGACTCAAACACTGAACTAAGGATATATTTTTTTTTTACATTGATTTTTAGAGACAGTGAAAGGGAGGGAGGGGAGAGAGAGCGACACCATGTACCCAGGCAGATGCAGGTGCAGGGGATGGAACCTGCAACCCAGAATGTGCCCTGGATTGGAATCAAACCCTTTACCCTAAGTTGGTGAGCCAACACTCTGACCATTGAGTCACACTGGCCAGGGTGAGATGAGTCTTATATTTGACCCTAAATATTTGAATTTCAAAAAATGTCCAAATTTCTATTAGGGATCTGTTTGTTTTATACATTATAGGTTATCTCTGTCCTTTATTAAATGTGACAACCAACATTGCTCATATTACTGAGACCTCATAATAAAGCAATATCTTGAAAGAGCAAATTTTGCCTCAGGACTTTTATCTGCAATGTGTCCACACGATTTTTTTTTTCTTCTTCTTTTTGCAGAGATTATTATCCTACGGCATGCAAGAACTCACGGACATGTCTTTCTAGATGGAAGTTTGATAAAGCTAGATGTTGGATGTGGTCCTCTAGATGAACCATGTATCACCTCACAATATGAGTGTTTTCTTGATTGGGGTGTTCAGACTTTTACCACTGGGAGACATTATTGGGAGATAGATGTGGGAGATACTTGGAATTGGGCTGTAGGAGTCTGCTGTGATGATTGGGTACAGGAGAATATACATTTCTATAAGGCATTTTATTTTCTTGGCTGTGCTAAAACAGATATGCACCACAATGTCTTCACCACCTCCCCACCTGTACTGCAATATATACCCAAACCTATTGGTCGAGTAGGGGTATTCCTGGATTATGAAGATAGAAGTGTGACCTTTGTAAACGTAGAGCGAAGTTCCATTATATGTAGAATCTCCTCTTGCTCTTTCTCTTCCTGTCTCAGGCCTATCTTTTGCTGTAGTCACTTCTATTATTAGGAATTTTTCAATATTCTGGGAACTCCAATATCTATGGAAGCCATTTTTCTGATCACTATCAAATAAGAAAAATATGTTATATGTTTTTGTTTTTAATTTCCTTTATATCATGAATATCTATTTACTGTATTATTAAATATGATAACCTTCAAAACATATGTATTGGTTTGTGCTTTACTCAGTTTAGGAAAACCATCACCCATGATGCATTTATTTATTTGTGAACTGTTATAAGGAAGTATAACTAGACATCTCTAGTTACACTCAAGGGTGTCTGGAAAGGTAAAATTCAATGTAAGAGAGAAAGCATCATTAATTCTCTTCCCAAACAGACATGGTTGTAGAGACACAATGGAAAAAATGTAAAATGCACACACACACACACACACACACACACATGCATGCACGCACAGCAATGGCAATTTAGAAATAATTTTCTAATTTTTCTTTTTTTTAAAAATATATTTTATTAATATTTTTTACAGAGAGGAAGAGAGAGGAATAGAGAGTTAGAAACATCGATGAGAGAGAATCATCGATCAGCTGCCTCTTGCACACCCCATACTGGGGATGTGCCTGCAACCAACGTACATGCCCTTGCCCGAAATCAAACTCGGGACCCTTCAGTCCACAGGCCGACGCTCTATCCATTGAGCCAAACCGGTCCTGGCATTAATTTTCTAATTTTTCTTCAGCTAACTATATTCTACGTGTTCTTCTCTCATTTTAATAATCCATAGTTTGAAGCAATATTACTTAATGACCTGTGCTATGCATTCCTTGTAATTCTCACCACAGTTATATATCAGTGTTATTCGTACTCTCTACTAGATGGAAATTAGCAGAATGATCAGACCAGTACTCTCCTCATCTTCCCTAGTATCTCCGTCTAGAGATATATTTATTCATACGCTATACTGTCTATGTATGAAGTACTTAATGCTATAGCATAATCTTCATAACTCCATATCCTCCCTGGCTTTCCCTCTATTAATCTGTGAAGTCCTGTGTCATTTCCCTACACCTATCATCCAATTCATCCTCTCTACAGCTATGATTAAACTGTTGATTAAATTCTTCAACAAATATTTAGTCTTAATTATTACATTTTAAAATATATATATAAATTCTATTTTTTCTTCAAGCTAGTGACATTCTGCCAAAATTGTTAGTTATATGAATATTCAAATTGAAAATAAGGTTATATTTATATAACTGAAACATTGAGCCCTCTGAAATATAACATTAGAGAACCCCCTTTAATTAAATCAATTATATGTAATGTATTTTGCATTATGTGCTAATGCAACTAAGATTTTTTACCTTCTTAACTAAATATCATTATTCATTACTCCTTTCATTAAATATATGCTGTGGTTCTTCCCTCACATTTGAAATGCTAGCAGGTGAAGAACACATGGGTGTTTTAAATAAAAAGCTTTTACCATATTTTAACTTTAATATACAATAGTGGTTTTTATTATTACTGAAAAACTTTTTGTTTTCCTCAAAAATTTTTATATTCTTAATTTGTAATGTACAATCTGTGCTTCCATAAAATCACACACAAATAAACACTATAAACTGAAAGCTCTCAACTTCCTCATCACTGGTGGTGTTTATTTCATGTTTTGGTCATGTGTTTAGGCTAATGTAATCTAGGAAAAGCAGTGTGGTACTTTCAGTCTCATTAGTTTTCTAAAAAGAGTAATTTTATTGTGAAAAATAGAAATAATAAAAATATTTGAAAGTGTGCCAATCAGTATCAGTTTTTAACTGAAAGTTGATTTTTCTATTATCTGTAAACACCAAACACAGCCATCATGAATGTCCTTATCCACAGACAGCCTCTCAGTTAGTTGAGGCCTTTTTCAATAATCGGGTCCACCTCTGGCTAGGACAATGAAACCCTTAGCTACCACCCAGTAGCAGGTGACAGTGCTGAGAAGAAAGAGACACAAACCCGGGTTGACCCCTGGAGAATTTCCTGTGGTGGTTTTGCAGCCAGGAGCCATAGCCTCATGCCACTTAGAGACAAGACAGGAGGATGCTTGATGCTGGCTCCTCCCACTGCAGATTCCAGCAAAGGGACCTGAGCTTCATTTCTCTGTGGAGCTGCTGGTAGAGCTATTGTGTGTCCTCCTCTGAAGCCAACCATCACCACCACCACCACCATCAAGAGTTTTGGTCCTTTTTCTCCTCCTGGTGCCTGCCTTTCCCATGCTGCTGCGGATCTGTTCCCTCTACCATCGCTAACTGTAGCAATGCTGTCCTGCATGCTGAGCTCTTCTGGCTGCAACCCCAATGGTCCTTATTTTATAAGGACACTGTTTCCTTAAGAATGATAGGTGTTTTATAGATGAAGCTGCTCTGGCTACTGATCCTGGGGAGCTGCAGGAGCCCTGTAAACCCTCTCTCCCCTTCCTTGGGACTGAGCTGTGTCCACCTCACCACACTTCTCACTCAGTGGGTGGTTTAGGAAAGCTGCTCAGAGGCCCCAGTCAGCCAGCCAGTGCAGGACCATCTCAGTCTGTATCAGAACAGCCCAGTGGTAACTTCAAAACCTTGTATCCACATATTATCTAATCCAACAGCAGCATCTCCTGCAATGTTTCCAATAGAATTTTTCACAAACAAGGATATTCCAGAAGCATATGAATTCCATAGCATTTTCAGTAGCTAAATAAACAAATAGAAAATAACTTAAATGTTCTGAAATCTGGGGTATCATTTTATAAAATATACCACATATTATTAACCGAAGATATAAAATTTTCTGTAATTACTGGTTTATTCCATGATATTTTGTGTGTTTTTAATGAATATGTTGTATTAATATTCTAAAACAAATAATTGCACATGACAAGCCAAACCAGTGCCACATAACTCACAATACTGAATGATATTAAATTAAAAATAAAATCTCAATTCTGTCAGTCAGGTTCGCAATTTGTGAGTGATCTTAGAAGTAAAAATCTCAACTTATTACCAATACAATCAGAGGAATATATTACTATAATAAACAATTCACTGAGTTTATGAAAATCTATGTAGGACATTCACTCCATAGCATGGTAACCTGGACCTGAATTTGTTTTTCTTAAATATCATGGCATTTAATCAAGGATGTTTTCTGACTGCCAAGCTGGCCCAGCAGAAGGAGCATGATGGGACTGAGGGGCAGCCATCTTGAAGCTTATCCACACCTTTTCTTGGTTACTTAATCTAATTAAGAACCATGATGAAGGGATTTTGCAGATAGGAGCAAAATCCATTATGTTGATTTTTTAAAAATATTTTTTAAAAATATATTTTATTGATTTTCCACAGAGAGGAAGGGAGAGGGATAGAGAGCTAGAAACGTCGATGAGAGAGAAACATCGACTAGCTGCTTCCTGCACACCCCCTACCGGGGATGTGCCCACAACCAATGTACATGCTCTTGACCAGAATCGAACCTGGGACCTTTCAGTCTGCAGACCGATGCTCTATTCACTGAGCCAAACCGGTTTCAGCTAAAATATTTTTATTGATTTCAGAGAGGAAGGAAATGGGAGAGGGATACAAATATCAGAGATGATTGATAATCATTGATCAGCTGCCTCCTGCATGCCCCACACTGGGGATTGAACCTACATCCAGGACATGTGCCCTGACTAGGACTGCAACTGTGACCACTAAGTTCTTAGGTTGATTTTATTATTTTATTTATTTATTTATTTTTAAAATATATTTTATTGATTTTTCACAGAGAGGAAGAGAGAGGGATAGAGAGTTAGAAACATCGATGAGAGAGAATCATCGATCAGCTGCCTCTTGCACACCCCCTACTGGGGATGTGCCCCCAACCAAAGTACATGCCCTTGCCCGGAATTGAACCCAGGACTTTTCAATCCACAAGCCAACGCTCTATCCACTGAGCCAAACCGGTCCCGGCTCTTAGGTTGATTTTAAACTCAAGAGCCCAAACCTATTTATCTTCATAACTGCTGCTTGCGGGTCAGGCTTTTAATTAAACCAACACATAAGGACCCTTTGTATCAAGAGACCCTGGAGTGGGGCAGTGGAAGGCCATCCAACCTCCAGGAGATCCCTTACATAACTCAGCATATGCATCCGAGGCCGGGTTTATTTGTGTGTGACAGCTGCCATTTTGTAAAATACATAAACTTTTTAAAGTGTAAAATGAGATCACTTTACAGTGAACCCTTGATTTTGTGGACCTTGATTTAATAGAATTAGAATTTAAAAGATTAGGTTTCTGGGCTCTATGTCATATGTGAAAGTTAATACCTTGTTAGTTTTTTACATATTTTTATTGATTTTCAGAGAGGGAGAGTGAGAGAGAGAGAAACATCAATGATGAGAATCATAGACTGGCTGCCTTCTGCTTGTCTCAAACTGGACCAGCAACCCACAAATATTTCCTTGTCCAGAATCAAACCTGGGACCCTTCAGTCCACAGGCCTATGCTTCATCTACTGAGCCAAACTAGTTATGGCTACAGCCTGTTAATTTTGAAATGCTTTAAACAATTAATTGCCTATAATTAAA